TATTGATTGACAGTTTAAGGCAATTTCCACACAATGATCTTTGCCCTTTGCCATGTTAGTTTCATCTAAACGAATTAGCAAAGTAATCTGAAACGAACTTTATTACTTTAGTGCTTCCCTAACTTACCAGTAATCAAGAACTTACTATAATCTAAACCTGAAAGACACTGTTAACTTGAGAGTAAATACAAGCACTATAAAATTATGACAGAAAGATTTAACTGTTCTTTTTTAAATAGATATTAATCTTTTGCTCGATTTGCTAAACATATCTTTTTCGTAGCAGTTAACCCAACTGATGACCACACTAAACATTTCTTTCAAAGGCTTGTGACTGATAATCTCTTCCTCTTCACTAACATCCTACAGTATCTAGCAAGAAATAAACTTGCTGTGGCATACATTGCTAAGGAATGACAAGTTAGGTATGCTGGAGTAATTCTGGCATATTAGTGCCAGACAACAAGTAAATCCACATTTTAGCAGCTGAGCTCAAATGGCATTTCACAGAAATTGAACTTGGTTTTGATAACAATAGAGTAAAAAACTGAACAGAGTAACTCCTAAAGAGTAATTCCGCTAGAAAAGCGAACCATTTCTGAAGATTAACCTGTTATCTGCTCTGTCCATAGCATTTTGGCTCTTCAGCGTTTAATTTGCTACTGCAAAAGGAATTTGCTACTGCAAAAGGAAGAGTAAATTTACCAGACTAATTTACATCAGCAAATAAAGTGACATTAACTATTTATTTTAGTACAAGTGAATCTCTAGTACATCAGCCAAAACAGATTATCGCAGTTAAAACCATGGTCTTTCCAAATAAGTGCCAGCTTTAGAAATTGAGATTTCTTTAGCGTAATATAAAATGGAATAAGGAATAAACATAATCAGAAATCAGTGGTATTAACATGAATTTTTATTTACTAACACATTTTTGCAAAATAATTGAAAAATTAAATGTAAGTTGGCAAAAACTTAAACCCAACAGCGTCTCTTTGCAAAAAAAAAAGAAAAAAAGATATTTAAATGAGCATTTTTTTGGCGTATATTTAGGATAGGCTGAGAAGACCGCTAACTCCACCTACTGGTCAGCTACAAAAACTTTTGTTGTTTAAAGAAAAGAGTGTGCATGGGGAAAAGCAAAATCATCTATATCAATATGTAATTCAATTATCCTGAACTTACTAGCCTAACATACACATTTTCCACTCGTTGCTGTCAGCTCTCTACATATCATCAGTCTGAGGACCCATATATACTCCGTTATTTAATCTCCTCTGAACTCATCCCTAAGCTTGGGTCCACATACTAAGGCGACTCACTAGTCAAAATAAGCTACAATGGCAAACCGCTGTTTTCAAAGGTGCAAGGTTTTATCCTTTAAAGTTGTGCTAGATTTAAAACTGTTTAGGATCATCCATGCAAAACTGCTAAACTGGACTTCTGAATGGGTTTATTTTATTTAATTCCAGTGTGTGTGTAAGCAAATTCATGCCGGTAACTCATTTTGGATAATCTGCCAGCACTATGAATTCCATATAAGCAAAAATACTTTCTCTTCTGAAATAGTCTCCATTCCTTTCACCAACAGACTGTCCTCTATTTCACAGAAGGGGTTTGTGGGGTGAAGGGGAATATTTTTAAATCATTCCTCCCCACACATCGAAACAGCAGGCAAACTTCACTTCTTCCACTCATCTGCCTGTTTTTTCTATTCTGATAACACAGTTCCTCATTCACAAGTCATCTCCTGCAGAACTGCCTATTCATCAAGCTTCTAGGTCACAATTTCCTAACTCATGACCTCCAGGTTATACTACACTTACCAGGATAATCAGTCTAGTCCATCACCTGTTTCTGACAGCCCCCATGCCCCTGTATCCCCCTTCTCACACCTCTGTTCCTCCTCCATCCCAAGACTAAAATGTGGAACACAAATTGTTATCTTAGGCAATTTTTTTTGACAAGTACAAGCCAGTTTGAGTTCACTCATTCACAGGAACAGACGTACTGCATGTGTGGGGACTAATAACAACGTATAGCCAGTATGTTCAGTTAGAAGATGGAGAAGCAACAACACACAGCTTTCCCTTATCAAGGGAATAAGCTACTTGGCTTATCCAAGCATAAAAGTGGTCATTGCTATTCTAACTGAATACTTAGACTTGAAATAAGAACCATCTTGGATCATATTACTTTAATTTTGCTATGCATATGCTTGGAGTCCCTTTTCTGTATTGAATGAAGATTTATTTATTACCCTCCATTCTTTCCTTCATTTAGCCTCTCACTTCAAGTCCATTTCTTTTTGAAATCCTCTTCTCCTCCTCTCTGTCCCACAAATAATGCCAACTAAAATACCACCTTGGTTTCTCTCTAATGCTCAGTCTCTGTGTTTCCTCCTGTGCTTCTCCAGCAGAGGAAATATTATCCTTTTATCTGAACGCTGCACTATCCAACTCACATCTTTTCTAAAATATCAGCGCCTAATAACAATTTATGGAAACAATCTACATTAAGTATTCAATTCTTTACATAAGCCTGCTTCTCTTGTACAAAGGTATATTCAAAAAATAGACTGTTTAAGTCTAAAACACAATTCCACCAGACTTTCCAGAGAGAATAAATATTCCTTGCAGATTGCTTCAAGTTACCGACAGAGGTATGTCAACTCTTCCAACTTGCTTAAGTTACAAGAGACTCCCACTGAGAGTTTAACCTCAGGTCTATGTGAAGTCTTCTTTTTTTTTTTTTTTTAAACTGAGATATACCTGAAAGTTATATGCCCTGACAGCACCATACTAATGTAATAATTGCCATTCAGAGAGTGACTATATAACTGATGGCAACAAGTTCCCCTGAAACGTGAAAACTACAACTTCCCTAAGTTAACTTCTCTTGGGCCTCAGATATAAGAGTGTTCACACCAGATTAAGATAGCGAGAAGCCTCCCGAAACCTGCATTTTAATGTATGTACTACCTATAAACCATTTAGAGTCTCTCAGTAGCTCTCATAAGCACTTTGACGAAACATGTCTCATTAAATTTGCAAAAAAAAAAAAAAAACCACACGTTGCTACTTATGGGTATGCTTTTTAATTGTTTTCAAGCTGACAGAAAGGGAAAATCTTCAGACAAAACTCAATCTCTAAGAGTAAGTTAAAGCATTAAAAGCACCAAAAAAATCTATTTGCTGCTCAGAACGAACATTCAGCAGCCTGTCTCTGTGCCCTAACCTGCATATGCAACAGAGCTTATTTGCTGTTATTTAAAAAGATTTATTGCATTTTGTATGATACATAAAAACAAATAAAAAATATAAAAACATCAAGATCCACAAGGAACTGAGGATTCTTTCGATTCTCTCTGTATACAGTACATCAGAGAAAAATATGAAGAGGGTGAAAGTGGGAAGGATCAGGTCATGCCTAATACCCCTAAGCAGAGTAAATATTAGCGACTACAAGCTGTAGAATGAAAGCATTTAGAAATGTTTTCACCTTCTCAAGCTTGAAAAAACAATTTCTATGAAATATCTTAAAAAATTAAAAAGTATACAAAAAGTTCTCTACAAAAAGCTATGTCTAACTTATGTCCAGTAGTAAAGCTAAAAGTGTCAATAATACACTCTTGTAATTTGTGTATTGTATTTTAAGATATTTGTGTTAACATAACCATTTTATGATGCTATTGCATTAAAGGTATTGATTAATACAAAGGCAACATGCCTAAAACTAACTTAGCTTAGTTTGGCTTTAACTTATGCTTAAAAGGTTTCAAAAGTAATTAGAGTATTTGGAGAGTAATTAGAGAACTCGGAAACACAAAAATGACGTACACTGAATAACTGCCTCCCCCACTACTGCCCCAACAGCGTCACTACCACAGTGAACAGTAAAGAGAGGAAACCATAGGAGGATATTTGAATGGGAAGACTTTTCTCAAAGAAAATAATTTATCAGAACACAACACACTGCCAATAACATCTGTACTTGTCTGATTTAAACTTATGAGTTGTTCTCTCTTCCACCTTGCCCAGGGCACCCATTTTTAAAGTGAAATTTCTTAAAAGCAAGAATTTAACAGAACAAGACTTATTATGGAGTTATATATTTCAGGAAACTAAGCATTATAATGCCCTCTCTTCTGGGAAAATGAATAGCAGTGAGATGCTCATACATATGTACAATTTAAGTCAGGATACAGACTTAAATGTTAAGTATTCTAAAGAGTTTAAAGGGACTATTTCTGGAACTTTTAAAGTTGGAAAGTTTTAAAGTTTGGAACTTTTAAAGTTGGAACTTCTGAATCTAGCCAAATTACTTAGTTAATATGTAATTTATGCTCTGCCTAACCCCTCTCCACTCCAAAGTTACTTTCTGCATGCAACATAACAGGAAAACATAAATACCCTCCTGAAGTTGTGGAAACCTCAGGGCTCAGTATTCTTGATCAGAACGTGTTCAGGGTGGCTAGCTGAACCTGAGTGCCAGCAAGGTAAATTGGAACACAGATTTACCATGCATCAGCTGCTAAGTACAGTTTGTCTACTCAATGTATGCATATAAAGACGCTTACTCTTCAGTAGACAGAGAGTATGTTGCCACATATTCATAACAGTGTGGGAGAAAGCTGCCACAGAATAGCAAAAGCATTACTTTCAGCATGACTTATCTCACAAAATTGTATTTATCCTTTCAATTTTCAGATCCAATCAATTTTTCATCTCTCTGCTTCTATCATTTTTTGTTAAGTGGAACATCCAGAAACAAGACCGAATACAGACGTCACTTCAAAGCTACCAACAACAGCACCACAAAAAAAAAAAAAACTGATTCAGTACTGGAGAGCATGGGTAAAAATCAAGAGAACGACTAGTTTCTTTCACAAATTCGAAAAATATGAATGCAAGAGCTCGCAAATTGCCTAATATTTAAAAAAGAATTTAAATACCTTTTAACACTTAGTCTAGAGATAGAGAATAAGATAATATGAGTACCTCCTGTTTTCTGCCAAATTTGCACCTTCATCCTTCAACTGCTTGCTTTTTTTCATGCAGTCTTCCAGAAGAATTTCCTTTCTTCTCTTAGTTGCATGCACCCAGTTATCTTCATCATCATCGACCAGACCCTTATCATCAGCAGCTTCTGCTTCAAATTGTTGCGAAGTAGCTTTTGAAACTTTCTCACCAATCTTCCTTTTCCACCCAAAAGAAGCCATTTGGAGAACTAGGGAGAAATATATTTTTGATGGTTAAGCAATTTAGTTTTTAAGGATGCAGAGAAAGAAAACTGACTTACTGATCTGGATTCTAAGACAACTGTAAACAACAGACTGCAATTCAGCCAAACAAGTTCTGCTCAGCAGCTTCCCTCGAGGTACTCCTCAGACAACAGTAATTTTGAGCCTACCTAGAGCGCATTCTACAGCGAGGAGAGAAGAAAAATTAAAGAAACTCTAACACAGCAGAAAGCCTTCTTCTAATTGCAAAACCAACACACCCTAAGAGAAGTAAAAGGAAAAAGGACACGGCTCTGTGCAAGCTGTACGAAGCACCTCAAGATGTGCACAACTGATTGGGGCCTCAACAAGGCGCAACTGCCAGGCCGACCTCAGGCTGCAGAGTCCTGCCGGTCGTCGGCCCGGCCCGCTAAGGAAAGGACTCCCCCGCCCCGCACCACCTCCCCGGCGGGGGGCCCTGCGCGCAGCAGGGC